ATATTATTACTAATTCTTTATATTGAATGTGTTTATTGTTAAGAACAAATATCTAGTACATGAAGAGTTACATTCAATTATAAAATGAAACAATTCTTAATTAATTATTAACTGATTGTTAAGAAAAAAAAAATTTTTTTTTTCAATGTAAAACAGTTGAATATAGCAAATTTTAAATTGATTCGTAAAGAATGACAAATATTCTATAGCAAGAATAAAAAACAAGTCATTTTTTTATAATTATTCGTTTTACATTTAAAGATTTCAGAAAAATATCAATTATGCGTTCAGTCACCGAATTACTTTAGTCGTTCTATTATTATTACACAATCTATTCATTCTTCTATTATCCAACAAATATGATTTTAAAATTTTTCAATACATCATTTTAAAATCTGTCAAGTTACTCGAATTTTTCATGAGTTATTACGAGTCAGTTTGTATCATTTATTTTATTTATGTAATTACTTTTGATGTAATAAAATCACTGTACTTCTATATTCTTGTAGTTCAAACATAATATTAATGTCTTATACATATGTATACAAAAGAAGATTTTCATCTCATGTCAAACATTTAATAATATCAGAACAACAAAAGTGATTCAAAGTAAATGTCAACTGTTTTTCCTAACTTTCTTATCTGATACGTTGGTTTTTCTTATCTCGTAATAAGAAACATTCGACACATGCCTATATGATATCCTAATATTAGTGTCATATTTGACAGTTGAATGCATACTGTTGAAGCTATGCAATATATCGATTTCGAGAAAACGCATAGAAAAAAAAAGAAAGATAAAAACGCATGGCTCTTGTATATGAAAATGTGCAATGATGTAAGTACGCTATAGGATTAATATTTAATCGAATGTTACATTCGTTTTCGTTCAGTTCTATTCTAAAGATTTTAGTTGTTGAATATACAATAATCTACTATGTTTATTGTAATAAAATTGATTATTTTCGTAAACATTTCGTTTGATTATGGCATCAAAAACTATTCTTATAGATTCTCCGAAAAAGATCTATTAGTAATAGATGACATAGTTCGATTGATTATCATTCATATTCATATAATTGAATAGTTGTGCATGCAAACAAAATCATATGACAATGGATTGTTTTCGATACTGAATATTAATTTAACTGCAGTATCTAAATCTTGACTATAGAATGTTTATGTCAGAACGAAATTATTATGTGAATTTGAGCACTCGTTCCACTTCAATTTCAAATAATAAATCAAATTATATGATTGTCATGTCAGTCATTTTTAGAAAATTGAATATCAAAAAATCTCATAAATCTTTCTTGGAAATTAGAGTAGGATAAGAATTCAAAATAATGCAATGAGCTTCTTTCTACATATAAATTTTATGGTCAAAATCGGAATACTATAGTTTAAGCATGTTCTAAAAAAACCTCAAGATAGTCATAGTCTATGTGACT